AGCCGCGGTGCGTCGGTCGTACTTATTTCTCTACCCGGAAAAAAACCCGACGATTCGCGCGCAGATATTATTACGACTGTAAATTGAAACAAGCCCGATCGATTTCCTTTGAGCCTTCAAAAAAAAAGCTGTAACGCTTTCTCCGCACTAAAAAATGCGACGGCGTGTCAACTAGAATGACATTCTAATTGACGTGAAAAATATATATTCGCTTGCGATGTAGATTTGTAAACGTGCGTCTCTGAAAATGTCTGAAATCCAGTTTCACTCGGTCTATACGTTATTGCAAGCCGGCATATTCGGTCCCACCTAAAAGAATAAAGATCGCAGAGCTTCCAATCTCATCTACAGTTCGTATGAATAAGCCACGCATCCCTCGAATGTGATATTTCGCAGGCGTCGTGGCATTGGCGCGCGCGTATGCTGCTGTATCTCGGGCATCTCTCAAGCCCCCGCCCGTGACACGGCGAAAAGTCCAAATTTTATAATTCAATATCACATCCGCGGTCCAGAGAGAGAGAGAGAGAGAGAGAGAGAGAGAGCGAGAGAGAGACGTCCATAAATTCGACGTGTCTCCTTTTGCTACCGTCTACTCTATGATTAATGCATCGTCCGTACATTTACCCCGCGCGAACTTAGCTTTCCATTATTTCTAACCCTAATATATTGGATGTAAACATGCGGGGGTGGTTTCTATGTACGTATGTATATGTGTATACAGAAAGCAACGCTGTAACGGCGAGGGGTGAAAAACGTGTCACGGCCCATAAAGCCATTTTTCGACGGAAAACTGTGCGAACGTCTGTGACTTTTCTCTCTGGAGCTTGTTGCTATCTGTACACTGTCCAGATGCGCGCGTAACCTTCCTGCATACGCGCCAATTCGCAGATACGTTTATTGCGCCGTTAATACAGCTGAAAGTCCCAATTCGATTTTCGACAGTTCGCGCGCAACTCGACGCAATCGTTGATCTGCTCTTGCGAACAGTCCTCTAAACGGTCGAATGCTATGAGCACGGAACGGACCGATTCCAGCGATAAAATTCAGAACGACGACTTGGCTTTGCGCTGCGTCAGGCCTATGTAAACTACACCGGAGCCAAAAGAGAAGAAAAAAAAGAAAAAGGTCGCATCATTCTGGTGGTTTGATTGCCGAGTAAAACTGAGCATGAAGAAAAAAAAAGAGAAGAAATCGATCGAGATGTGTACGCGTACACAAGAGGCCGCTTTCGGCCATCAGTATAGTGCCGAGTGTAATATGAAGATAAGATGTCCCCTGCGTGCGTGTGTGTCCCTCGATATATCGAGGGATTACGAAAGCTCCTATAGCTCCGAGGGTGTTCGTCGCCATAGATTATGCGCGCCTTTTTTCCCTAAAGTATGCAGCAGCTACCTGTCACTCTGGCTTCGTCTGCTTGCTTTGATCAGGGCTTTGCTCCATTGGGAAATGTCATGCGAACGCAACTGCTGGTATCGCATCGATTGTTTTTTTTTCCATTGAAGGACTCATCGAACTTCACTAACGTTTCCAGAAAACAACTTTGGTATAATTGGGTTTGAAAGGCAACGTGAAAAGAAAATACTTTATCGTTTGTTTTCGCGTTTATTGGTATACGACACTTAGAGATTACTGCTAGGAAGACACTGAAAATGATGTTGAATGAGTCGAGGAATAATATAACAAGTCATGCTTCGTCTGTGTGACATTCGATTCGCCATTGGTCATGCTCTACGGTACAACGAGAAATGACGACTCCATAAAGCGAGCAATTTGCGAGCCCAACAGAATTTTTTATAGACGCCCTCCTGACAAATTTATGAATAATTTATAAAACAAAAAGAAAGAAAAAAAAAAAAACACTGAAAATCCACGTGAAAGAAGGAAATAAGTGCCTTTTTATGTCTCGCTCCAGATAAGCCATAAATTTTAATTCATATCCAAATCGTGCCAAGAGGGTGAATTCCACTTCTCTCTTATTCCACTTTTCTCTTTCCTCGCCCTTATATAGCGGCAACACGCGCGCATATATTTTCTTTCCACGTCGAATCCGTCACGCGTTTCAGTCGAGTTTTTTTTGCCCGCCCCACGAAAATTCGCTATGTTATAGAAATTCATTTTTCGTAGTGCGGACTTTACACGGGCGTCATAAGCCAGTTCACTTAATTTAAAGATCGCTCGGACGCATTTTCTCGCAGCCGTGGGGTCCAGAGAAAAAAAAAAAAAAAAAAATTTCAGCGAACCCTCGCTCTCTCGCAGCAGCTTTTTATAATCCAAGCATTCCGCTTTACAGTTCATTTGGCTTGCGGTTTCTGCCTGGTTTATTCACGATTTTTCATTTTTTGTGAATGTTGGCTGGAACATCAGTGAGACGATTCATTTACTACTATGTCGAACAAATCGAGAGTGAAAAATTCATCACTATGATTTTATTACCAAGCTTTTTACGTTCTTCGGATACTTCAAAATATATAAATAAATTGAAATAACCAGCGAAATGGCGGTTCGTCTATCTATTAAAAATAAATGTTTTCATAATGTGAAGTATATTTCACCGGAATTCCTACAACAGAAGTGTTATCGCGTTGAATTTGTTGACGAATGACAGTCGATCGATGATTACATTATCTCGCGAAAAGAAAATTGACAACGGCAAGAAAAGGTAAAGTTTGGTCGGACCGCAAGTCGGCACGATTGGCGGCAAAGACAGAGCTGCAGCTGGCAAATTGTCTGGAGGGCTGGCGGCGCTGTATAGAGGGCCCCGGCGACGAGCCGGATCAAGGGACGAACGAAGCGAGGAAAAGAGACGGAGCGGTTAATCTGCGATTCAAAGAGAGCGATCCATCTTGCGACTCTGCCAAGGATTCAATCGTCGGCATTTGTTTGTGAAATCAGTCCCCCGAGGTTCCTCGGCGTATCTCGTTCTGCGGGAGCAATTCGCCTCTCGTCTCTTGGCTTATCAAGCGGCCACGCGGGGCGCGCTGAATTTTCTGGCTCCATCGACCGATCAATTATGCGGCTATATGCTATTCGCGCGCTCTCGGCACCAGTCCGAGATCTCCCGGCTCGCGTCGCAGAGCGGCGAGCTCGATTGAGATGTTCCTGAAATTAACGGCGATCGATTGCCAGGGCCAATGATTTGGCTTCCACGCGCGCGCTCGTTATTCGCTCATTCGCAGGAATGCGCGAATAGAATACTTTTGAAAGTCGCAGCTTACGGGAAACTGTCAGTGCACTCTCGCGTGATTAGAGCCGCGCGAAGAAGCAGCGGACGATGAAGAAAAAACAAAGAATCGATACGACGTCGGGAGAAATAAGCGAAAAATTCCCGGGATATATCTGCAAATGTAAAGCAGCCGTATAATGTCGCGCCCTTCCTCCTCCCTTCTCCCTCCCCCAATAAGGTCGTTTATATTTATATTCAGCGCCAAGGCGGTTTCTATAGTGTTCGGGTTTTTCTCTGAGACGCGCGAATCAAAGAGGGTGGACCCGCCACCACTCCACTTTATTTCCTTCCCTCTCTGGCGGTAGCTTTGCCAAGAAAACTCCCAGGGTGCGACGTGGGTGTTAGCATAGGAATACCATTTCCAAGCTACTTTTATCTCCAAACGCCCGCGCGACTTTTTCTCGTTTGCCTTTGTTCTATTCTCGGCGCTACTCTCATTTCGATGTGGATATGCCGGATTGTTATTGCAACGATGCCAACTAGACGAATGATTTTCAGACATCGATGATTCTTCGTTCGACAACGTGCGAATAAAGCGCTTGCACGAGAATTTGATTCTGTTGGGCACACTTGAAAAAGTGAAAACTTTGTGGGCAGTAAAGTTGAAAGCGTCCGAATCGAATGTGCGGAGGGGGGGGGGGGGGATGGAGAGGCAAAAGCGGCAGCCAAATATCTGGCATGCGTGTGTGATCGTTGCTGGCTCGGGCGCATGGCCATAAAGTGACCCCATCGCGTTTCAGCATCCCCAGTTGCCGAACTCGGACTTTCCCCCTTTCAGAGAGAAACGGACGGAGAAGGTGAGGGCGGCGGGAATTATTGCTCTCCTTATACATTCGTCCGTTCGAGGGCACACAACCACGAATAATTCGATCTCGCCGAAATCGAAGTCGACGCGCAAGAAGGCGCGCGTGTTCTCCTTCGCCCATGGGGGAGGGGGGGGGGGGGGGGGGGACGAGGCGTGGGAGGAGAACGCCGCCGAGATGGATGAGCGACGCGCATGACAAAGTAGCTTTATTATCGCGTGTAAAACTTTTTCCTTTCTTTTCTCCGACTGTCGCTCGGAAGCAACTGTTATTTTTGCCAAAGCACACTGCCACATGTTCGTACGATGGAAACAATTGATTTTCCACGAAACGTTTTCGATTTAGTTATATTTTACGAATTTTGCAAGGACGATAAATTTTCAGAGAGAAGATACCGAGGAAGTATGACAGAAATACGAAAGAGAGGACACGAGCTGCGCGTCGCGGTACACGCGCGTAGCCTCCTCTGTTAGTAGAAAAACCGAGGAGTCGTCGGCGAGGCGGAACGCTTTTTTGATCCATGGGGGCTCGACTCGCGCTTTTTGCCATTGCTCCGCGCGATATGCACCTAATATATATATATATATATATATATATATATATATATATATATATATATATATATATATATATATATATATATATTTTTTTTTTCTCTCGTTCTGCTTACGTTTTTCTTGCGAGGCAGTCTGCTAGAAAATAAGATGTTCAATCATCTTGCACGAATCTATATATACCCAAAGAAAAATGCTTTGCGGCTTGTTCATCAATAATGGTCAGGTTGTTTTGATAAAATCGAATAAACTTTTACATACGAACATGTTATTGTAAACAAAAGAATAAATTTAGCAATATTTACAATCATATCTGTTGAAAAATAACTTATAATAACAAAAAATGACTTAGTATAGTTGGAAATCGAGTTATGCCGGGAGAACAGCAGATACACTTTGTGAAATATTTCATTGCTTCAGAGAATGTCGGTATCTGAGCAATCTGTAGCCTTGCGTAAGTTGTGCGCTCAAGTTGACGGCGTGACACGCAAAAAGCAACATATTCGTGGGCCTTACTTTTACGGAAAACCTCAGAAATACCAATGAGTAAAATGTAAGAGCTGAAATGAGCATAGAGTAAAATTTTGTTGGCATACGAATTAACGTTCATAGTGCGGTTGGTTTCATTACCTACAGTCATTTTTCCACTGATGAATTTCGGATCTTTTTGGGTGTCCATTATTGCAGCAATTGGTATCATCCAATTGCACATTGGCCCCCAAAAGTGTGTGCTGGAACGAAATACACAAATAAGTTGCAATTTTTTCTTTTTTATTAGAATGTCCGTAGCGTACTTGCTACAAAACATAATATACTATTAATATACAGTAACAAAAAAATAGAATCAACAAACCTCATAAAGTAGTCCTTGGTTTCCGGTTTTGCCAGGAATTGTCGCAATCGCGATGCCATCGTGACCTCGTAAATATTATGATGTTTTCGTACGCTAACGAGAACTCTGAAACGTGCATGTGGTTGTTATTGATGATTTGCGCAATCAGTAATTAGTAGAATAACTAAACGCATTAGAGCAAGAATTATTCGTTTCGTAATGTCAGGTGATTATTTGATCGTGCTTAAAATCAATTCGCGAGGAATACAAGCAATGAAAGCGACATTGCGAAACTGACCACACGCGAGAATGAAGAAAGAGCCGATAGATATCCGCACATTTTTTAACATTGCACGTGAGGCTGCTCGTGAATGGTGATAAGTTATCTTATCAAGAAGATGTTCTAAATCACTGCTCCGAGCATTTTAACAACAAATTTATGCTGCACTAGTGTTTGACTATATGTTTACCTTGGGATGCGGGTGAGATTATTACTAACGTAAAAGTTGAGTCAACAATGTGGTTACTATACGTGAATTGATTCTACACAGTGTCAAGCAACAAAATATTTCACAACAAATAGGTGACGTGTGGTTACTCATTTGACAAGGTACAATGAACAACTGATCACAATAACAATCAAGACAATTTAATCATACATTCGTCAAAAATAAAAATTTAATTTAGCAAGGTCAACGGAATACGTTCAAAAACCAGCTTCGCTTGCCGGCTGTTTCGAGACTGAGCGTATCGATTCCACCCGATCGAATGTTTTCTACATGTTCGCATTTGCATAACCTGACTTGCGTAAGTTCGTGGTCTCAGACTATGCTCGTGCATGTATACAAGATTTATCCGAAGAAAACAAGTTTTCTCGATGCTATAAACTATATTTAATAATTGCGACTATTTTTTTTTATCAATGGAATATTTCAATAAATAAATGTTTTATTTTTCTTCCTTATAACTGGTTTTGCTTGACAGAAAAAACACAAATCTGCATTGGTTTTATCCGTACTTAAAAATATGTACACGTAAATAATACAACAGTAACAGCGATGTACAATATTTTATTCAATTGTGGTTTATAAAGCAATTTAAAGAAATATTTGAAAAAATTTATTGCTAGACGTAAAAAAACAAATAAACTCCTCGATATCCTCCAGTCTACTTGATAACAAGCTTTTGTTCGTAAAAGAGAGAGACAAAAATTCAACGCCTCGTCCATCTTTCCGTGAGCCCGGCATGCGACTTCATCAGTCAGTCTTTCCGACAGATTTACATGAAACAGTTTACACGCATGATTTATCAAAAGAGAGAAAGACCAACAACACCCCCTATCGCCGTCTCATCATCATTTTTTGTTGTTGCGATATTCCGTAACGAATGGCAATCGGGTTGTTATTTCGCGCATACGTACCATTGATGGCGCTATACTCGTATGATTGCCGTGCATATGTATGGTGGTGGTGAGCGCATGCGTAGCGAATAGGAGGGGGGGGGCGGTCAAGGGTGGTATTATTGATCCAAACTGAAGGGTGGGGAATGGGAGAGAGATGAACGCGGCTCTCGAGTTGTAGCAGCAGCAGCCCCCTTTCAATCGCGTGCCGCTATCGCTAGCCGCGACTTTGCGCTCTCATTATATATATATATACTTCGGGGCCTTGAGACAAGCTATTTTTCAATGGTCGAATCATTCCATTTTTTAATCAATTTCACGCAATTTTTCGCGCTCGCTCGCTCATATCCTAACTCGTTTTTATCAAGATATAAAGCTTGAGAGAAAGAGAGAGAGAGGATTAGTGGAGGAGTTTCGATGGAAAATTGATGGGTTTATTTTGAGGATCAACTTATGTTCTGTTAAACGTTAATCTCAGAACCTTTGCATAAACGATAACTCTAATAATTGCTACGAACGCATGGGTAATTTTTCCAGATTATTTATCATGTAAACGTCATTTTGAAATCTGCAATATCAAGCCGTAGAGAACTAAAGATTTGTTATTCAAATTTTACTTATTAGGCTTTAAGATAAACTTTGCTGAAAGTTCAATCTGTTTATTTTCTGTATCTTAAATAACAAAATATTGATTAGCAACAGTCGTCGCATGCCTCATAGTATGTTATTAGATTGAAAACAAGAATAGACGACGCTTATCGCAAATACTTATACTGGCAAGTCCTCGAACAATTTGGCCGTGAGCTGAAGGAAAAGCAAGGAACGCGAGCGCACAGTGGCACGGGGGGCGTACATGGTCGAGCGGACGAGTAAGCGAACGGCTCGGCATCCCCTGCATATGCATTCGTACGTCGATCGTTTTTCCTTTATTCGCAAAGCAAATCCTCGCGCGGGCGACGAGCGGGCGCGCACAGTCCCCCGGGTGGCTGCGTGTGTCGCGGGGCAGCCGAGCCACTCAAGGGTATTGCCGACGCTTATTTTCTCTCTTTCTCTCTCTCTCTTTCTTTCGGCTTCTGCGTGCATGTATATATAATGTATTCGACGCTCGCTGGCTGCACTCACGCGTGCGCGACACTTTGGCTTATATCTGCGGGAAAGCTTCCGACGAACTTTTTTCTTTCGCTTTGTCCAGTCGCGCGAGAATGCGAGAGAAAGCCCACATCACGGGGCGCCATCCTTTCCTTGTTGCTCAGGTATATTCCATGTAACACCTTGGACAAAAGAGCAAAACTAAGCACGGTTTCCTTAGTAATAATGGAAGAAGCCGAAGAGTAATTATTCTGGAAGACTGATCGCCGAGAAAAATGCTGCAGCACAGCTCGAAGAGGAATGCACGAGTAACCGAGTGATATCGCTGATAGTGAAATTAAATCTGCACCAGTTCGGGTCTTCCGTGTAGGATAGAAAGTAAATCGACGTAGTAATAGTAAAACAGAAAAGCTAGAACAAAAAATAGTCGTCGACGAAGAAAAAGACCCCAGCTTATTCATAAATATTCGAGAGCGTTTTTTCAAATCGAATTCAGCAATCGGCTGATCGGCTTTTGCCGAAAGTCCGTTTCTCTTTCCTCGGCAAGCAACAGAGCACTGGATAAAACGCGTCTTTGAAATTCCTGTTTGTATTCCGAGTGCTGCTGCTGGCTGGAGCGAGAGAGAGAGAGCCGGCACTCTTTGATGTGTGCCGTCGTGTGCTGACGTGCCAGGACGACTACCATCTCGCGTTCTCCCCACGATCTGTATATCTAAATTCGTCCTTCGTATTTGCCAAAAGCCAACCCTCGCTTCGACTTTTTCTTTTTTTTTTTTTTCGCTCCCCGCGCTTGCTTTTCCTTTATGTAAACTTTTTCCCTTTGGTTTATCTTTGCGAGAGCAAGAGAGCCGAAGGTCCGCCGGCGGATACTTTATCTGGATTCAGCAGATAAAGAGAAAATCGTGCGGTTGTTGTCGCGTTGAATAAGCGCTGAGTCAACGATAAACTTCATTTGTTTCTGTTGTCGCGTCGTAGAACGGATCGATCATTGCTAATGATCAGAAATGATAAGACACTCGGCGGCGGTGCGCGTCGGAGAAGCCTGCGCCCACGGCGGAAATGTCGCCGTGGAAGAAATCCGAATTTCCCGTGCTCGACAGCGCAATACTTTGCTCTCTCTCTCTCTCTCTCTCCGTTCGCCGTACATTGTGCACTTTGCTAGCTCCGCCTTTTTCCTTTAGCCTGTTTCGAGGCAACAGACGAAAATCCAACAGGGCCATTTCTATACTACTAATACCGCTCCGTGCTCTCGTGCGCGTGAGTGCGCCACGGCGAGAGCCCGACATCGAAACTTTGGCACGCTTGCTCGCGCGGCCAGAGGCAATGCGAAGCGAATGAAAAGTCGCGCGCGCGACCGTACACCGCGTACTGCTGGGGCTTTCGCCGCGAGCGCCGCTTGTAAAAGAGCTGCTGCTACTGCCGAAAGCTCGCGCTGGAATGTCGCGTGCGCCGTATACGTCGGAGCAGCACGAAATTGAAATGTCGCTGTTGTTGAGCCCTTAAACAGATATAACGTGAGAGTATTAGATGCACTAAGCTGCGACCTTAGATTTTCGTTTATTTTTAGGAGAACCTTGAGAAGCAAACCTTTCTTTTACTATCTTCGTTATATAAAACTATTCGCCTTCTGTCTCGTTCTACATTTTCTCCTTCGCATTTCTCACGTCAGTCGGGTAATTCTCCGAAAATGCAAATATCTCGCGATACTGTGCTCTTTATTTATCCACTCCTCAGGTGACGTGTAGTGGTTTTCATCACAGGATGAAACTTGCAGTTCGTTATCTTCTTTATGTAAGTTTATTGCTTTGCTTTTTTCTACTGTGGACTTACTGACTAAATCTGGAACTCATCATGGACATTTTGTGATCAAAAGTTTCATGGGAAAGTGCAACATCGATTTTAAAACTTGATAAACACTTTCGACCATAAATTTCATAGAACGCGATGTATTATGTTATTAATCGATCCAGGATTGGTTAAGCTTTGAACTCGGCTTTGATTTTTCTTTTTTCATAATTTTCATAAGACTTTCGTATGTCTTTTCCTTAATAATTTAGAAAATAATTGTATTTTCGTGAAAAAAACTCAGGGTTAGCGATGAAATTTCAATAGTAACTTATTTATTAATTTCATATCATCGGAACAATGTGTTTTTTGAGAAGGAATGTACATTAAAGATAACTATTAAAATGTCTACCATGAAAACATTCAATTTTAAATAATAAATAATAAATATGAAAGTGTGTCCCTCTGGTAGAGTCTTGAGTAAGTATAACGCCGCAATAAGATACATGGTTTTATAAATTAGTTTTGTAAAAACATATCTATTCCACTTCGACCCGTTCGATCCATCCGCTTTTCGAAAATTGTTTATGAAAATGTACTCTGTAAGTAAACGCGAAATACGAGGACAAAATTTATAAAAATAAATTTCCGTAGCTGTATAATTGTTTACGCATTGATGTTTTGCTTTCTCAAATGGTATAACCGCGTAGTTTCAGATCCCTATAAAAAGAATCTAAAGTTATACGACAGGAATTGCGAAATTCTGAAAATTCTTGATTTGCGCATGTATCA